TCTTTTATTTTTTATTTTTATTTTATCTTTTGAATTTAAAAGTGGTAGCCTTGAATCTTCCCACCAATATCCCTTTGTTTTTTTTTAATTTTATTTTAAAAAACCATAATTTAAGAAAAATACTATCATCTTAATTTTCTCCCTATTTGGAAAGTAGCTTTTAATTACCTACCACATGGGGACATATTCCTATAATGTAATAATTTAAAACAAAATAATGGTAAAACAAACAAAACCCTAATTATACATATCCCAAAATTTGGTTTTTGATTTAAAGTCATGTATTTCGCGATGCAAATGACAAAACATGTGAGTTTCATGTAATTTATAACTTTACTTTTATGGTTTTAGTAATTTAATAATTTTTTATCGATTTAGTTTATATTAAATTTAAATGTTATTTTATAGAACATACGAAGATGAAATACAAGAAGCTAAATGACATTTTAATCATCGAATTGGTTTTAATATAAGTTTAAACTTTTAGACTTTAAATGACATTTTAATCGAATTTTAAAATAAAAAATAAAAAATTTCATCACATCTTAATTAAATTTCGCAATATTAATAAAATAACAATATATAAATAAAATAAAATAGAATAAAAATAAAAAGGTGGAAAAATAAAAAGGAATGTACGCGACTTCCACCTAATCACATACTAGATTTGCAGGAAAATGGCAGACATTGTACGTGAGTTTTGACTTTTATTTTAACCTAACTTATTTTTGTCAATARTTTTGAAAACCTAATTTAACTTTGAATTTATTTATTTAAATGACATTTATTTTGTAGTTTTTTTTAAACTAACATTATTTTTGTAATTTATTTTTAGAACTAGATTATTTTAAAACTTTGTCGAACAAAATAGTTTATATTTTGCAAAATTTTCCTAAACAAGTCTCGAGGATCTGCGGTCTCCTCTTTCTAGCCTCGAGGGCTTCAATAGCCCCTGATATTTTCGACGAGCATTTGGTTCATCAATCCTTCAAATATTTCTTCACTCATCTTGTTTCATCTTCCGATGGGAAAGTTTACTCCATTTCTCATCTCTCGAAGATTGTAAGTTTTTTTTTTTTTTATCTTTTCTTTTCTTTTTGTGACTGGTTGTACTTTTCTCTGCCCAAATGTGGTATTTGATTTCTTTGGTCTTTTTAGACATCCCGAGTTCCAAATCGAGGGCGTCCTCTGTTGATGGAAGAGTTTTTTTGGGCTTTTCCTTCTAATGAGGAAGAAAAGGTTCTTTGGCAGGCTGGTTTCCTTTCAAGTAATAGGAATATCCGGGTGGGGAGAGTAGAATAGTTTTTACAGTTGTAGAGGGATCTTGAGATTGAGTGTGAGATAATGCTCACTTAAATGCATCCACTTAGTTGTTGGCTTCTAAATTCTTTTATGATATTTCCCTTTCTGGATCACCAACAGTCGGGGTAGTCTCTTTGTTGTTGTTGTTCTTCTTTTTTTTTTTTTTAATATATATATATATATATATATGTTTTTGGTTTCTTTTTGTTAGCCCTTATTGTGGGGCCTTTCTTTTCATTTCATTTACTTAATGGAAGTTGTTCTTTTCATTTTTAAGAAAAGCATGTCATTCAATCAACATTCAGTATTAATTTTTTGGTTGATTTTGGACATAGGTTCTTGTTCTCATAGATTTGAACCAATTTTTCCTTTTAGTCTCCCCATCCTACTTAAATTTTGAACTAATAAATCACATTGTATTTCTTGGAAACAGGAACCAGCTATTTGAACAAATTGTGTGTAAGAAATCTGGTAATGTTGGACATCCTTTTGGGTCACATTCTTTCTCATCTCGAGTTGGAATTCCAGATTCTAGACAGAATTTTACTCAAACAGGTACTATTTTTGGCGATGACAATTCTAATACATTTCCAAATTTAATCTGCTGGCAATATGCTGTGGTTTATCTTGATTTCCTGTTTGGGTGTATGTGCGGGCTTATGTGTGGCGGTATGAGATGAAGTAATTTCAATAAAAGATGAAATTCCATGAAGGGCTTGGATAAAGAATCCAAATTCATGAAAAAAATCCAATTCAAAAAACAACATTGATCCCTGAAGTACATATTCTCTCCAACTGCTACCAATCCAGAAAAGTGGAGTGTCTCTAAATTCTTTTATTGTGGAAGCTGAAAGAGAAAACGACATCAGAACCTTTATCCTTAGAAATACACCTATTTCTTTCTATCCGCATGCCAAATCAACACCAATATCAAACTTATTTCTCTTCCAAGTTTTTAAGACGTCAGTCTCTTTGTTGTGTCTGATTGCAAATTGTTTTTATCTTGCAGTCACAAAGAATGCAGGTGACCGTGTCTATGCTTCTTATAATGTATATAAGGGCAAAGCTGGAGTCTCTATGATGCCTTGTCTGCCAACTTTCACTAAATTAGATGTATATAAAGATTCCTGTTTCTTTTATCTATGTTTATTTCTGTCTAATAGGTAAAAATAATTTTGTTTTTATTCTTTGCATGATCGCAATATACTAGTCTGGGAATCTTGTAATAAGTCGACGTGGTTCAGTAATGCTGACGTTCTTTCCTGCCATAGGCGAGCGCAAGTATGATTGGACAAAGAAACAGGTCATTTTTCATTCTCTGTTTGCATTTATAGTCCAGATGTTTACTGGAAGTTTCCCTTGATTGTAATATCAATAACTTTCATGATTACACGTGTAGGACAGTAGGTACATACGCTGTTGTAATATCATTAACTTTCATGACATGCACTAACTAGGAGTGGGAGTAGGTTGAAAGAGAGGATTCTCTTTTCAGATTCGGATTCCTTTTTGGAAATTCCATCAACCTCCTGAACCTGCTATGCCCCTAAATGTTCCCCCAACCCAGTTAACCTATTCTAGACTCTAGTCAAAACGCATGCATACTCAGACATACTGAAACTTTCTTGATTGATTCGGTTAACATCTTGCAGTTGTTTTCGTTGTCCGCAACAGAGATTGGTACTTTAATAAGTTTGGGTCCCAGAGACTCTTGTGAATTCTTCCATGACCCTGGAATGCTTTCAAGGTTGGTTCCATAGAACTAATGTTGCAGTCTATTAACGCATTTCTATATTTCCATGAAGCATTTGAAATTGTATGCTGCATAGTCCAATGAATGAAATATGATTCCTATTTAATACAATTTACCCATTTGCAGGCTGCTTTAATAATGACATGGTATGAACAGAACCCAACTAAATATTTTATATTCAGTAATTTTGGTTTATTTTGTTGAATAATTTCTTGCAGTACTGCTGGTCAAGTAAGGAAGAGCTTAACAATTAAGTCTCATGCAGATGGCAATGGCTATTTCATCTCTTTGAGTAAGGATGCAAACGTAGTTTGATAATATAGTGTATTTGTGACTTTCAATGTGCTCTACCAGCTTTTTGCAAATATTTCCATTAGATGGTAGGCATTTTTACAAAAATTCACTTGTCTATTCAAGCATCTTGAGAAAAATGTGCTCTCGAAGAGAAAAATTCACTGCTGAAGCCCGTTCATTGCAAGATTAGAATTGCAGCATGACTTGTTAATATATTATTGAATTAGAATGACTTTCTTGTTCTAGGGTGAATTCTTTGTATGGGTCGCTATCTCTTATTGTTCTTTGTTGTTTCCTCTATTACATATGGAATGAGGGTTGTTGAAGCTTGCAATTTCAAGCACCTTTGGCAGTTGTGAGGTTGGAGAAAGCAAATCATGACWCTATTGATTGGACTTTGAAACATAGAGCTTATTCTTATAATCTATAAGACCTTATTCTCTAATAATCCATTGCTGTCCAGGTGGCAGCTCAAGTTTATTCTTTCAYATCCTTATAATGATGCCTGGTTTTCTATTTTTTTTTATCTGTTTTTCTTGATCAACTTATTTGTTGTCATTATTCCTGAGAAGAACTCACAGTGAGCTGAATGTATATCCTTCCCTTTTCTGCAGATGTTGTTAATAACATGCAAAACACCAAAGAATTCTTGAGTGTTCCCTTCACAGCAGGCGAATTTTCTGTGATGAAAACAGCTTGCAGTGTATGAATTGAACATCTCTAATTTATCTTTTAGTCATGAAAATAGCTTTTTATCTTTTTTTCTTTCGTTTGGCTCGTGAATATTTGATATGAGATGTGTGTTTAGGTGAAGCATCATCATTTTGACAGAACCCCCACCATATTGAAAGATAAAAGGATATACAAACTACAAAATAACCCAAGTATCAGAGGTACTTGAACCCTCCCTTCTTGAGATATCACTCAAGCCTAAACCACTATACAATTCAATACCTTCATTCTTACACTGTCATTCTATTTATAACAACTCTTCCTAACAACTTCCCTATCTAATTACTAAGGCACCCTCAATACCCTAATAATATCCCTTAATTACCCTAAAGGGTCATTCCTATCACAGTTTGAGCTTGTGAAGCAGAGTTAGGGGATAGAAGGCAAGCTATGAACTTAGATGCTTTTGGGAAGCCATAGCTTTGAACTATTAAATGTTGAATAAATTTCGGGTTCAAATGTCGTAGGATTAGGTAGTTATGTTATAATATTAGTTGGAGTACTCATAAGTTGGTTTGAATATTATGGATATGAATGTAGTAGGCAACTAGGCACTTCTAGACTTTGCATTTTGAAGATCTAATGTTCTATCACTCCCCCACTTTTTACAATAGTGCTTTATCGTTCTATCTTTTGCTGTTTACCTCATTTTTTGAGTATTCGTTAGTCCGTTGTACGTATTTCGTACTATTTTTAAAATTACTGCATGGTTTTAAGTACCAACGAAACAATACCCATGAACAGAGTTCAATCCATTGCATCCCTTGAGCTTCTATGATGAAAAAAATTATAAACCTCAAGAACTCAGCAGATTCTTCTCTTGTTAAGAAAATGAGTTTCTGTGACTGTTGTTACTTGACCGTGTCCTCTACAAGCCTTATGCCTTCATTTCAACCCGAAGAAAAATTATCAACTCTATTACATTTATTTTGCTTTAATCCTTATAGTTCCCCAATTCTCTGTTTTTTAATCTTCGAACTAGTATAAATTTTGTTTAGTTTTGGTTAGATATGGAATCTAGTCTTGAATCTGGAAACTATCGACCGAAGATTTTATTGAACCCTATATTGAAACTTAACAACAAAACTGAAACAAATCAAAGTTCGGAGACCAAAATAGAACGTCCCAGACTATCACAGACCGGTATACATAGCATAACTAAACTCGCATTATTTATATTTGAGTGATTACAACTTACATGGCTGTTTTATGTTAGATGTTTGTCATCTTTTGGGTGTTTTCATTTGCTACCTCTTTTTTCTGTTCTCCTAGTTTGCCCTGCCGCACATTCTTGGTTGGGACCAGCTGACCAGACCTAGCCACCAGGGCATGGGAAAGGTTGTTCAACCGAATAAGGTAGATCGTGAAGCATTGAGTTTAGAGTGGGAAAGGTGAGTGTTCATAAAAGATTCCATCTCCATGAAGCTGCTTACTTCTAACTTCTAAACTGAGTTGTTGTTCTTTCCTTTTGTAATCTTTTGTCTTCTCTCAACTATTATTGTAGTGATGGATATGTCCTTAGAATTTTGCTTTGCCAAACAGAAAACACCAGTTGGTGTCGAAGGTTGGGCTTAGTGGTTGTTTTTTGGATGGAACTATCTGTTTCCAAAAATGATGTAACAATATACACGGGTATTAATTATACTTTAAATGTGTTATGGAGTGTGCTAAGCACTGTTTTTAATTAGGTATACTTGCTGACATGAGCATAGTTCARCGGTAACTGACATTTATTTCTTTCCTTGAGGTCGGAGTTTCAAATCCCATTACCCCAATTTGTTGTACTTAAAAAAAACCAGGTAAACTTTCTTTTAAACAAGGGAAACGATATGGGTGGTAAATAGTTTTGTCATAGTGATGTAGGCATTATAAGCCTTTATAACTCTTTTCCTTTCTTTTCAAACTGTTATGTTAGTTAGTTATCTATAGTTAGGTTTCGGTTAAAAGAGCCGTTGGAGAGGCTATCTATATAGCCTCTTGCCCCTATCTTTAAAGAAACAGATTTATGACAAATACCTTTCACATTGGCTTACATCACATAGTTGTAAATATAGCATGAGTTCTAAGATTTTGCAAACGTAGCAACGTTGTAAGGCAGTCACCTATTATTAATGATGGACGTTGATTAGTGTCTCCTTAGGTAGGGTCTATCAATGCCCATCAATGATAGATGTCTATTTGTTGATAGACACTGATAGATGTGTGATAAATCTTATCAGTGAGATATTGTTAGATGTTTATCACTGATAGATCTGTAGGTTGAGATATGTTATTGAGTTCTTTTTTTTTTCTTTTAAATTATCATGTTTGTAACTAGATTGCTACAAGTGTAATTGCCCATTTAAATAATATATACTAGGTTAAATTATAAGTTTGGTTATTGAAATTTTAGGATAATGCTTAATAGATTCTTAAAATTAAAAAAAGTATTTAATAAGTTATTGAACTTTTAGTCCTGAAGTTTTAAAGTGTCTAATAAGTTAGTGGTTTATAAACAAAAAATTAGAAGTTCAGAAATTCTTTTTATTCAAGTTTAGGAACTTAATAATACTCAATTCCAAAAATTTAGGACACCTTTTTAGAGGTCCAAAACTTTTAAAGTTGGATAAAACTTGTATTTTGACATTGCAACATAAAAACTATTATAGGTGCATTTAAAATCATAATAAGGGTTAAGTACACAATTAACCCTTTTTGAAGATCTTAATTACAAAAATGATTTTAACCATTTACACTTTTATCTAAACTTGGTCCGTTTAGGATGAAGTTCCATTGGAATATATATTTAATAAACAAATAAACACAAATTCATGGAAAAGGTTTTTTTTTTT